GCGCTGCTTCCGAGAGGCGTGCGGACACCTGCAGCCGAGAGGTTGGGGGAGGAAATCAATAAGTTGTTTCCCTTCTCCACTCAACGTTCAGAATTAAAAATGCTCCAAGAGAGCTCTAGTGAGTGCAGGCACTTAAACAAACAACAAACAAACAAACAAAAAAAACACTCTTTCGGGCCTCTCAATGGAAACGCATGAAAGCGCACGCGTGTGTTGGTGTGTGGCGGGGGTGGGATCCGACCCTCACGGGGGTTTCTTTTCGTGGGACACGCGCTTATTCCCTGCAACTCCTCTTCAACTTTGTGGGCGTCTGTCACGGCATCGCATGCACAAAACCACAAACACATCACAAGTCTCCCAAGGCCTTTAATTCTCAGGGGCGACTGGGGAGGCCAGTTACCTGCTGGCGTCTTCCTAGTGGTCCAGACTCCGTTTGGCCACAGGGATGCCGGGATGCCGGGAGCACTCAGCCCCGCGCCCTAGTGCAAGAAAGAGCAGCTGCGGAGGAAGCGGTCTCGGCTCAGACCCGGGCCCAGCCGGGGCCCCGCGGAACCGTGCGGGGGAAGCTGGGGTTTCGCTGCCGGAGGCATCCTGGCTGCCGCTTTCTGGAGCTTGGAATTTGATAAATATAGCCTGGCGTTTGCCCTCGAATTAGACTCCGTTTCCTTATTTAGCCCCTGCACAATGATTTTAGATGATGTCACTTAGAGCTAAACGAGAAAATTGATCTCAGATTTGCTTGGCCTCTAAAGCTTGGTTAAGCAGATTGAGAATTAAAAAGACAGAGGGAAAAAGCGAAGGGGTGCGGGTGGGGTGAGGGTGGAGGGGAGGGATGTGTGCGCCCCGGAGTGTGTGCGCGGAGGGGAGGGCGCGCGGCGCGGTGGAGAGCGCCCCCGCCTCCTCTCTGGGCGGGGGAACGTCCCTCACCAATGAGAAGTAGTCGCCGACTGCAGAGGAAAAAAAAAGTTTTCCTGTTGACTGTTGGAAGCGAATTGAGCAATTATCTAGTTTACCTTCTCCTCTTGGAAGTTAACGATTGGCGAGATCTTGGCTGCGTTATTGACACAACACTTTCTATTGATAGAAATAAGTAGTGATTGTCCCTGAGTCATTGGTGCGCCGAGAACTCTGCGATGGGATGGCGGGAGTCCATTGGGCTGGGCAGGCAGGTTCGGCTGGCGATGCTGGGGAGGAGGAGGAGGAGGCTGCTGGTGGTGATCGCGCCCGTCCCCCTCTCCGCAGGTCTGTGACAAGCAGAGAACAAGGCAACGACAGCGCAGCCCGGCCTCGGCTGACGGACGCGGGCGGCTCAGACATGGACAGTGGCTGCCACAACGCGACCGCCAAAATGTTAGCGACTGCCCCGGCTCGGGGCAGCGCGATGAGCACCTCCAAACCCTTGGCTTTCTCCATCGAGCGGATCATGGCGCGCACCCCGGAGCCCAAGGCCCTGCCGGTCCCCCACTTCCTGCCGGGAGCCGTGCCCAAGGGGGACTCCAAGCACCCGCTGCATCTTAACCCGTCGATCCCTTGCATGATCCCCTTCGTGCCGGTGGCGTACGACACGAGCCCCAAGGCTGGACTGACAGGCTCGGAGCCG